TTCACTGTGGATTCCCTTCCTCTGTTTTGCCCTTTTCTTTTACACATATAATTGGGAAATAAACTAAAATGACCAGACACTCTTTGGGAATTGGATTGAAAAAGAAATGTATGTCTCCTTGTTAATGTTCTTGAAATGGAATGAAATCGCTTAAACTATGTTTTTAAAAATAGGGAAGGAATTTGCATAGAATTGCAACTAATTGATGTAAATATTTTCATAAGCATCTCCTTGTGTTTGCATGATCAAATCCTTGTGAAGATATTAAAGTAAAAGAACGAGTTTCTAGGTTCATGATACAATAAAGGCAGGACCAACTCCCTGAAGCTGAAAATCAGGGTGGTGGTGGTGGGTGGGAGGGGAACACATAAAATAAAAAGTCAGGTTGATGGAGCAGAAGTACAGAGAAAATAACTCATTAAAAAGTGACAGGTTTTGAATCATCAAAAGAAAAATGACTTGGTTATTACTTAATGGAGTTGACTCGAATCAAATAAACAGTAATTTACAGTAATCTTTCAAGTTCTAAGACTTGAACATAGTTCTTCCATTGGATATTCACTAAGCTGTTAGTCAGTTGGTGAGAAAAAGTTGACTCTTGTCAACTTTGATTGATGCTAAAATAGAATTTCAAAGAGAGGTGTGTTATAGAAGCAAGATGGCCTGAGCCAATCGCTTGCTGATTTGAGTCTGTGTCTACTGGGCTGCATAGAGAGCTAGTGAAAAATGATTTTCAGGTGTGTTTGTGAGTTTTAGGAAGAGATTAGCACCTTTTAGGGTCGCCCAGCCAGCGGGTGTGGCGACAGTGTGACCCGCCTGTGAGGCGGGGACCTCGGCCCTGAGTAGGATCTCTCAGGGATCCTCCAGTCCTGAGCCTAGCTGTCAGTGTGGCAGAACACTGCTTCTGGAATATTCCTATAGCGGCCTGAAGAGAATGTTTTATTCTAAGTAAAGCGAGTCAGACGGCTAGAGCTACACTGAGCTTGGAGAAGAGTCTGTGCTACTGTGTGGAGCTAGATGCCAGTGAACGTCCATCTAGCTAATGAGTACCTGCAGGTGCGTCTGCCTCTGGCCATGGCTCCCTTTCTCCATGGGACAGACCATGTGGGGGGAGCTAGCTCTCTTTTCAAAAATAACCAGGGGTGCTCTTTTCAGTGGCTGATGCTGTCTTTCCAAAATAGTCCAGAGGCCTCCCTGGTGGCACAAGGGGTTAAATCTCAGCACTATGAAGCTATCGGCAGCCACTGCTGTACAAGTTCGATGCCCAGCCAGGGTCAGTGACAGCGGATCTCTCCTGTCTTGCCTTCAGTGTATGTGAGTCAATCTGCCTGTTCTCTCTGTCTCTGTGGAATCCTCTCACTGCTCCTCCACCCCTGCCATACCTCTGGCTTGCAGTCCAGACCTTGTATGCATAAATGAATAAAATAAATAAACAAAAATAATCCAGTGTTTTTGATGTGGGCCATTCTCACAGATGTGAGTTACTATCTCCTGGAAGTTTTGATTTGCTTCCTCAGGGTAAACGGTGATGAGTGTTTTGTCACGTGCCTGCTGGTGATCTATATGTTTTCTTTGGAGAAATGTCTGTTTAGTGATTCTGCCCACTTCGGGTTGTGTTATTTGTTCCTGTGTGTGGAGCTGTCCCAGTTATCTGTAGCTCTTGCATAATGGTCTCTTGTCAGACGTGTGGCATGCCAATATTATCTCTCAGCAGGACGTCTTTTCATTTTTTTTTTAAGATTTATTTATTTATGCATACAGAACTGGGGTACAAGCCAGAGATGCGGAGGGTGAGAGGCTTCACCAGAGACAGAG